TCACAGCTTTGAGAACGGAGGACATGTAGCGGATAACCATGCCCTAGTTCTTCCCAAACTGTGTTCCACAAAGTTTATGCTTCCTACATGCTCATAGGCGATCCTTGCAAAAGGGGATTCTATGATGCGATTAGGCTTTGATAAAGGCAAGTATTTGTTGCTTCTCGTTGGAGAATCCAAAAGTTACTGTTAATATAGTAAAGTTGAGACCGCTGATTGAGACTTTTCTTTTTTTTTTTTAAAGCCAGTCAAAATTTAGCAGTGGGGGGTTGAATACCCAACCAACTTTGTGACATAATGTTAATAAGTTCTGATAACTGGGCCCACCATGGGGCTCACGCCTGATAAGTCCTTCAGCATTCTGGGAGGCTTAGAGTGGGCGGATTGCTCCGAGAGTCAGGAGTTCGAAACCAGCCTGAGCAAGAAGCGAGACCCATCATCGTACTATAAATAGAAAGAAATAATTGCCACTAATATATATAGAAAAATTTAGCCGGGCCATGGTGCTGCCATGCCTGTCAGTCCCAGCTACTTCGAGTGGGGCTGAGGCAGGAGATTACTCTGAGTCCAGGAGTTTGGAGGTTGCTGCTGAGCGTGTAGGCTTGACGCCACAGCACTCATACTAGCCTGGGCCAACAAAGTAAGACTCCGTCCAAAAAAAGAGTTCTGATAACTGATAGACCTTTGAAGTGAGACATTGAGCAGGCAGCTTGATTTGGTCTGGATTGTGGGGCAGTTGGAGTTGATACATACATAGGTTTGGGAGTTCACACGTTTAAAACCATATGAGTTTTAGGAAGGAAAACAAGGAGTTGTTTAGAAGAAAACCAGGAGGTCGAGGGGCTGCAGCTGTCTTATGATCATGAATCAGATCTCTGGGAACAGAGCCAAGACCAGAGAGGTCAGCTGAGCCAGTGAGAGAGAAACCAGGGACACTGTTGACTCGACTGGGCCCCTAAATCTGATCTCCACTGGGACTTTTTAGCTTATAAAGCCAGGAAAATCCCTTTTCACTTAAGGCCTTATCATTATTTCTTAGGGAAGAGTCATGTCCTAAGTATGACATCTTCACCACCTTCTTCTGCCCATTTATCTCTGTCTCTCAGGGATCGTGCTTGCTCCATCTTCTTACCTGTCACGCAGGAGAATAGGAATAACCTCTCACCCCACGAGGAGAGTAACAGGTGGGCCTCACTTACCCAGGGCAGTGTCTCTTGGCAACATTTCAGGCATCAGTGGAAGGATCAGTTAATAATGGTAGTATGTTATGAATTTTATTTTATTTCTTCTTCTTATTTTAGAGTCAGGTCTCCACCTGTGCTGGAGTGCAGTGGTACAATGATAGCTCACTACAACCTTGAACTTCTGGGCTCAAGTGATCCTCCTGCCTCAGCCTCCTAAGTAGCTGGGTCTATAGGTGTACACCACACGCCTGCTAAATGTTGCCCAAGCTGGTCTGAAACTCCTGGCCTCAAGCGGATCCTCCTGCCTCAGCCTCCAAAGAGCGGGATTACAGGTGTGAGCCACTGCACCCAGTCCTGTGATGTACCTTTCACATGAGAACATGCCGTCTCACTTCTTTCTGATGGCTGTGTAGTATTCCTTGTGAGCGCCCCACGATGGACAGTCAGGTTGTCCCATGCTTTAGTGAATATACATAATGCTGCAGTGAACTTTCTCGGACGTGTGACTTCAAGCAAGCACCTGAGCAAGTACACCTGTCAGACACCACAGCCGCTTTCTTTCCAAAGAGTTCACAAAGCTTTATGCTTCCTGTGTTCTCCTGGCTTCCTGGCACGGCTCACATGGGCTGCCTCTTCTTCTCACCACCCCATTTTTTTTTTTTTTTTTGAGACAGAGTCTCGCTTTGTTGCCTGGCTAGAGTGAGTGCCGTGGCGTCAGCCTAGCTCACAGCAACCTCAAACTCCTGGGCTCAAGGAATCCTGCTGCCTCAGCCTCCGAGTAGCTGGACTACAGGCCACTTCGCCACCATGCCTAGCTAATTTTTCTATATATATCAGTTGGCCAATTAATTTCTTTCTATTTATAGTAGAGACTGGGTCTCGCTCTTGCTCAGGCTGGTTTCGAACTTCACCCGCCTCGGCCTCCCAGAGTACTAGGATTACATGTGTGAGCCACCGCGCCCGGCCCTCACTACTCCTTAAATACCGACAAGCTGGCTTCCACGCACCAACACACTCAGAGACCACCAACGACCTGCTTCCCTAGCGTGTCCCCTCTGATCTTCCTGTAGAGTTTGACCCCACTATCCATCCCATCCTCAAAATCTCTTCTCACCATCCTGTTACGGGAGATAATCCCTGTCTTTTCTCTACAGGGTCTCGCTCTGTTGCCCAGCCTGGAGTGCGGTGCATGATCATAGCTCACAGCAACCTCACACTCCTGGCTCAAGCGATCCTCCTGCCTCAGCCTCCGAGTAGCTGGGACTACAGGCAGTGCCACCAACACCAGCTAATTTAAAAAATTTTGCAGAGTCTGGGTCTCCTGGCTTTAAGCGATCCTCCTGTCCTTGGCCTCCCAAGTGCTGGGATTACAGGTGTGAGCCACTGCACCCAGTTCCTCTCCCAACTAATCTCTCTTCTAATCATGTTTCTGCTGTGTCCTTTGCTTCTCTTCCAAAGGCATCTGGCAGGGAGTGGCACCCCGCTGGCCAGCTGCCTTAGCTTCCTGCTGTCCCACCCAGGCAGCCTCAGCCACTTGCCTCACTGCCAGTAGAGGAACTTGAACCCAGTGCTTTGGTAAAAACCTCAAGCACGAGTTTTCCCTCTGCTTTCACACCACAGCCACCACCGACACAGGAGACCGCTGTGACCAAATGGTGGGGCTTTCCCCCCACACCCAAAGAGTGGACACTACCTGGGTGTCCTCTAATTCAGATCCCACACTGTCTACCTAGAGATAGCCTCAGATCCCGCAGGGTGGGGGCTCAGTCCCCCAAACTGCCCCCCACTTCGACACCAGTTGCAAGTCCGGCCTTTGAATTTCTGACGATGCTTCAAGTTGAGGCTCCTGACCCATCTTTGGGTTCAGTTTATCTGCTGGAGCAGCTCACAGAATTTAGGGAAATGCTTAACTACCGTTCACAGGTTTCTTTTCTTTTTTTTGAGACAGAGTCTCACTCTGTTGCCAAGGCTAGAGTGCCGTGGTGTCACCCTAGCTCACAGCAACCTCAAACTCCTGGGCTCAAGCAATCCTGCTGCCTCAGCCTCCCAAGTAGCTGGGACTAGAGGCATGCGCCACCATGCCCGCTAATTTTTTCTTGATATTTTTAGTTGACCAATTAATTTGTTTCTATTTTAGTAGAGACGGGTCTCCTCTGCTCAGGCTGGTTTCAAACTCCTGACCTGAGCAATCTGCCCGCCTCAGCCCCCCAGAGTGCTAGGATTACAGGTGTGAGCCACCGCGCCCGGCCTACAGGTTTCTTATACAGGGTATTATGAAGGATACAGATGAAGAGATGTGCAGAGCAGGGCATGGCGAGGGGCGCATCACCTTCTGGGAATGTCCATGTGCTCAGCTCTCTGGACCTGTGCTCTTGGGTGTTTATGGACAACCTTGTAGAAATGTGATTAGCCTTCGGGATATAGAGCAGTGCCCTCTAAGGAATGAGGGCACTCTTGGCCGGTGCGGTGGCTCACGCCTGCAATCTTAGCACTCTGAGGCTGAGGAGAGCGGATCACTCAAGGTCAGGAGTTTGAAACCAGCCTGAGCAAGATCGAGACCGTCTCTACTAAAAACAGCAAGAAATTATATGACTAACTAAAATACATCTATACAAAAAGTTAGCCGGGCGGTGGCACATGCCTGTAGTTCCAGCTACTCGGAAGGTTGAGGCAGAAGGATCGCCTGAGCCCAGGCGTTTGAGGTTGCTGTGAGCTAGGCTGACGCCACTGCACTCCAGTCCAGGCAACAGAGTGAGACTCTGACTTAAAAAAAAAATAAAAAGAATGAGGTCTTATGACCCACAGTCAGAAAGGTGGGGGAAGATTAGAGTCCTGCCTTAGGGCAGGTGAGGAAGGCCAGAGATTCTGCTTCCTGAAGCCTAACACACCCAACATTGTAACAAAAGACTGCAACAAGGGCTATGGGAGTTATGAACCACCAACTGCGGACAAAAAGCTATATATGTATATATTACACACCCAGACGCCCTATTTCTGTCTGTGGCTTTGCAGTTCTCCGTAGATTCAAAACCTGGTAGTTAGACTGGGCGCGGTGGCTCACACCTGTAATCCTTGCACTCTGAGGAGACTCAGGTGGGAGGATCCCTTGAGCTCTGGAGTTCGAGACCAGCCTGAGCAAGAGTGAAACCCTGTCTATACTAAAAATAGAAAAAAAATTAGTTGGGCAACTAAAAATAGAAAAAATTTGCTGGGTGTTGTGGTGAGCTACTTGGGGGCTGAGGCAGGAGGATCGCTTGAGCCCACGAGTCTCAGGTTGCTGTGAGCTAGGCTGACACCACAGCACTCTAGCCTGGGCAACAGAGTAAGACTCTTTCTCCAAAAAAAAAAAACCTATTGAAAAATGCCAGAAATGAATAACCAATTAGTCATATTTGATATTCTTTTCCCTCCTCACATTCCGTTAGTTACTATTATCCTTTGTGGTTATTTCTATTTTCCCTGTTATATTTTAACTTCCTAAGGGGCACAGACCTTGTCCATCTCCCTGGGACCTGTCACATAGTAAGATCACAAACAGATGATCTAAAAATGGTTACTGGGCCTTCCGTTTGATGCTGTGGGCTTGTCTGCATCTTGCAACTATCACCTGGCTGAGAAATTTCCTCTATAAATTTAGCAGTTTCTGTTTCAGGTATAGTTTGCCCTGATATTTATACCACTTCTCTTACCCCACCCAAGCCTCCAACTTAAAAGCTTGAATTAGAGGGGATATTCAAATCCTTAGCCACGCCGCAAACAGCCCCCATAAGAACCAACAAAGCAAGGTGAAGTTCTTTTTTTCTCCTGGTATTCTAGCTGCTGTGGCTGCATTGTCTGGGGACTTCACAAGATTTTGCTTGTCCTTCCACGCTGCTCTTTCTGGAGCTCCCTCGTTTCTTTGTGCGATCATGTTCCAGATGGCTCGGCAGTGTTTCCAAAATGAGTATTTTGACAGTTTGCTGCATGCTTGCAAACCTTGTCACCTGCGATGTCCTAGTACTCCTCCTGTAATTTGTCAGCGTTTTTGTAATGCAAGTAAGTAATACCGCTTGGGTGATTCTTCATTGGTGTGAACTAGTCTCTCTATATCGACTGTTTATTCAGAAAATAAACCTTACGGGAAAGATGGCGAGATGCTCTGAATGAAAAAGAGAAAAGAAATGAGGCAATGATTAAAATGTCTGCGGGAACAAAGTAATGATTCCAAACCGAACCCGGTTTTTCTCAGCACTATTAGCAACATAGATTTTTGTCAGTGCTTCTGATTAAGTGGTGCTTAGAATTTAAAAGTCGATGCTAGGCCGGGCGCGGTGGCTCACGCCTGTAATCCTAGCACTCTGGGGGGCCCAGGCGGGTGGATTGCTCGAGGTCAGGAGTTCGAGACCAGCCTGAGCAAGAGCGAGACCCCGTCTCTACTAAAAATAGAAAGAAATTAATTGCCTAACTGATATATATATATAAAATTAGCCGGGCATGGTGGCGCATGCCTGTAGTCCCAGCTACTCGGGAGGCTGAGGCAGCAGGATCCCTTGAGCCCAGGGGTTTGAGGTTGCTGTGAGCTAGGCTGACACCACAGCACCCTAGCCCGGGCAATAGAAGTGAGACTCTGTCTCACCAAAAAAAAAAAAAAAGTCGATGCTGATGAATTAGGGGGATTGCCTGGCAAAGAATCCACACTTGATGTGAATACTATGCTATCAGCTCATTATCTCTCTGACATTCTTTTAATAAAGGTGTGACCAATTCAGTGAAAGGAACAAATGCCATCCTCTGGACCTGTTTGGGCCTGAGCTTGACAGTTTCCTTGGCAATTTTCGTGCTAATGTTCTTACTAAGGAAGATGAACTCTGAACCCTCAAAGGATGAATTTAAAAACACAGGTTGGTTTGACAGTGAATCTTTGAAATCTGTTTCCAAGAGGCGGCTATTGTGAGTTTCAGTTCCTTGTCTTTTTCTAAGGTTGACTATTTCATTCGATTACAAACCTTTGGAGTATGTTAGAGGATAGTTATGTTAAATGAACTTCATGGTAGAAGCAAGGCATCTTTGTCCTGGTGTTAATACCTTTGCAGGTGTCCTACAATGCCAGCCTTCCCCTAAATTCTTCCCTTGGTAATTACTGTACCGAAGTACTGAGGCTTCCTTGGGAAACATCTGTCTCTTTGACTATCAAGTGAGCACATTGATTAAATGTCATGCTAGCAGAAACTGCTAGCCAAGCCCACTGCTATCAGGAAAAGCATCTTTGGCAAGATCTATGGCCATGTTTTTAATACAAATATAAGTGTTGTTTGCTTGGCCTAACCTTTGCCTATTGAAAAATGCCAGAAATGAATAACCAATTGCTCCTGGATGAATGAGCAATCATCTAAAAAATAATTATCTTTATTAAGCAGCAGAGAACCAGTCTCAGAGAAGCGAATGCTCTACTTACTTAAGGGTCTCTTAAGATAAAAATATTTCCTGTAGCACCTCTGCCCATGATCTGATTCCCAAACGCATAGCAGCAGTTGCCCTATTTCTTTATGCATTGATTTTCCATGCATAACCTGTACAGCAGCCGCCTCATTTGCTTTCTAGTGCAGGAGGAGAGGGAGATGACTGTTCTGCATAATTTATGCATTTTCCCCTTCCTCCTGGGGTCTGATATACAGGTGGAGAGTGAATATTTTTTACATAAAATAAAAATTGCATATTTTTAAGGTGAACAATATGTATTTTTTTTAAATTTTTTATTTTAAAACCTCAAACTCCTGGGCTCAAGCGATCCTGCTGCTTCAGCCTCCCGAGTAGCTGGGACTACAGGCATGCACTACTATGTTCGGCTAATTTTTTCTATATATATTAGTTGGCCGATTAATTTCTTTCTATTTATAGTAGAGATGGGGTCTGGCTCTTGCTCAGGCTGGTTTCGAACTCCTGATCTAGAGCAATCCGCCCACCTCGGCCTCCCAGAGTGCTAGGATTACAGGCATGAGCCACCATGCCTGGCCAACAATATATTTTGACATACATACCCATAGTGAATGATTACTACAGCCAAGCAAATTAACTATCTATGTCCCCATTCCCCTCCCCCCCTCTTTTTCGGGAGAGCACCTAAAATATACTTTTAACAAATTGACAGGGGCCTGGAGTGGTGGCTCACGCCTGTAATCCTAGCACTCTGGGAGGCCGAGACAGGAGGATCACTTGAGCTCAGAGTTTGAGACCAGCCTGAGCAAGAGTGAGAACCTGTTTCTACCAAAAATAGAAAAAACTAGCCAGGTGTGGTGGTGCATACCTGTAATCCCAGGTACTCGGGAGGCTGAGGCAGGAGGATCCCTTGAGCCTAGGAGTTTGAGGTTGCTGTGAGCTAGGCTGATGCCACGGCACTCTAGCACAGGCAATAGAGTGAAACTCTGTCTCAAAAACAAAACAAAACAAAACAAAAAAACCCAAATTGGCAGTATCCAATACAGCAATATTAACTATAGTCATCGTGCTACACATTAGATCTCTAGATTTATTTATCCTACATAACCGCAACCTTGTATCCTTTGACCAACATCTCTCCAATACCCCCACAGTCCTACCCAGGTAACCATCGTTCTACTCTCTGCTCCTACATGTTTAACTTTTTAAGATTCCTCATATAAGTGAGATCACGCAGTATTTTTCTTCCTGTGTCTGGCTTATTTTGAGAGTGAACTTAAGTGTGTGATGTTTTGGGAGATGGAGTTACACTGGGGAATGTCAGGAAGCCGTAAAACTTACTTGCACAGGTATATAATGCAGACATAATGGAGACTCACTCCTTCCTTTTGTGTTCACAAGAAATTCATTTAAAAAATGTTTAATCTGTTGTAAAATGCTCTGCAAGAGAAGCATGTTTACTTCTGAATTCTAAAGTGTCACCTGCAGGCTGACTTTGGTGCGCTGTGACATACGGTAGTTTCTGTCACTCTCACGTGTGTAAGATAGGGTCAAGACGTCACGCCTGGAAGGGCCAAGTGGGTAGCAAATGCATGCAGTGGGCCAGGTGGAGGCTTTGCCAACAGGGAAGCCCATGCCCTGCCTGAAAGTGACAGCTGCTACCAACTCTAGCGACCGTTTCCATGTAGGAATGCTGGCTCCATGTCACCACATTTTGTTGCCTTTTAAAAAACAGGCCAGTCGTCTAGATTTGTATGTGAAATCTCCTGATTTTTAAGTGTGGGTCAACATAAAACAAACACTCTAAACACTGTATGCCCCCAAACAAACCATGTCTTCAAGCCCAAAGTGGTCTGTGGTTGGTTAGCTGATGACTTCTAGTGTAGGACATATTCCTTTTTGCTTTTTTTTGAGACAGAGTCTCGCTGTGTCACCCAGGCTAGAGTGCAGTTTCATCATCACAGCTCACTGCAACCTCAAGCTCTTGGGCTCAAATGATCCTCCGGTCTCAGCCTCCTGAGTAGCTGGGACTACAGGCATGTGCCGTGATGATGGGCTAATTTTTCTATTTTTCATAGAGATGGAGTCTCACTCTTGCTCAAGCTGGCCTCGAACTCTTGACCTCAAGTGATCCTCCTGTCTCAGCTTCCCAGAGTTCTATCATTACAGACATGAGCCACCATGCTTAGCCATGACATATTCTTTCTGTCTGAAAAGATCTGTCTCAAGCTGGATGCAGTGGCATGCACCTGCAGTCCTAGCTGCTCCGGAGGGTCAGGTGGGAGAATCCCTTGAGCCCAGGAGTTTGAGTCCAGCCTGGACAACATAGTGAGACCTTATCTCTAAAATTAAAAAGAAACAAAGATCTGTCTCAAATTCTTTGGAGTCTTGATGTGTACTGCTAAGACTGTCACAACCATAAATGACACAAGCGACTGTGAAGTTTAGGTTAATGTTTCTGTTTCTGTACAATCAGGATCGGTTCTCCTGGACGTGGCTAATGCTGACCCGGAACACAACAAGACTGGTGATGGAATGGCTCTTCCAAGAGGCCTGGGGTACACAGTAGAAGAATGTATCTGTGAAGACTGTGTCAAGAGCAAACCAAAGGTCGATTCTGACCATTTCTTTCCACTCCCAGCCATGGAGGAAGGCGCAACCATTCTTGTCACCACAAAAACAAATGACTATTGTAGTAGCCTGTCAGCTGCTTTGAGTGTTACAGGGACAGAGAAATCAATTTCTACTAGATAATTAACCATTTCAACTGCTAGAGAGCTACTTTGAAAATCTTTTGTCAGAGGGAAATGATGCACTAGGTCTTTTTAGGATGACTATTTTTCAGTTGGTGATATAGTTTTTTGTTCTTTAATTATGGAAACTGTTTATGTTACATATATTTTTCTATCTTATTGTTGGGATCTTAATTGTGGAAACTGCCTTGGTTTTGTGATTAAATTCTTGACTCACTGATAACAAAGCATGGCAATCTGTAGATCCCATAGTCATGCATTTCTCTACCCATCTCTACTATGGGTAGAGACGTGCTCTCTCCTGTACATGCACATACACATTTCGGGACAGACTGGATTTTTCTCTGTCTTGTTAAAGGAAAGCAAGGTTATCCTATGTACTTCTGTTAAAGGAAAGCAAGGTTATCCTATGTACTTCTGTAAGTAGCAGAAGCCTAGAATGGGCCACACTAAGCTAGTGTGTACTGTTTAGGTGGCTCTTGACCTTGGGAGCTCCTAGCTTCATGGAGGCATCAGGCGTTACCATAGTGGTACAAGTAGGTGTGTGATTGCAAACTGTGTAAGTTAGTAGCCTTGTGAGGTACTGTTTGCAGCCCAAATACCAGTGCATGATAATAACCATAGCTAACACTTATAGAACCTTACTAATGTGCCGAGGACTGTTCTAAATGCTTTGCCTGTAAGGAACTCATAAGGGGGGGGGGGGGGGGGGGGGGGGGGGGGGGGGGGGGGGCCCACAAAAACTATAGGGTGGGTAGATGTTATTATTATTTTTTGAGACAGAGTCTTGCTTTGTTGCCCAGGCTAGAGTGCGTGCCATGGTGTCAGCCTAGCAACATAGCAACTCAAACTCCTGGGCTAAACAAATCCTCCTTGCCTCAGCCTCCCAAGTAGCTGGGACTTACAGGGCATCGCGCCACCATGCCCGGCTAATTTTTTCTCTATATATTAGTTGGCCAATTAATTTCTTTCTATTTATAGTAGAGACAGGGTCTCACTCTTGCTCAGGCTGGTTTCGAACTCCTAACCTCGAGCAATCTGCCCGCCTTGGCCTCCCAGAGTGCTAGGATTACAGGTGTGAGCCACTGTGATCCACCTAGGTGGATGTTATTATCTTCATTTTACAGATGATGACAGGAACTGAGTCAGAGCAAGGTCAACACAGTAAATGGCTGTCTTAGTCCATTTATGCTGATAGAACAGAATACCTGACACTGGGTAATGTATAAAGAACAGGAATTTATTTTCAGTTCTGGAGGCTGGGAAGTCCAAGATCAACACACTGGCATCTGGTAAAGGCCTTTCTGCTGTGTCCTCACGTGGAGGAAGAGTGGAAGGGCACCCCTGCTGAATGCTGCATGAAGCCTCTTTCATAGGGGTCTTACTCCCATTCACACGCGAGGAACCCTCATGGCCTAATCACCTCTTAAAGGCCCCACCTCTCAGTACTATTCACATTGGTAACATCTGAATTTTAGAGGGGACACATTCAAACCATAGCAGTGGCAGAGCCAGGATTTAAACCCAGATAGTCTGATCTATTTCTTTTTTTCTTTACACATCAATTTAATTCCATTTCTGAGTTCCTTCCTCTTGGGATACAATCTTTGTCATTACTGAGGGATGGTTCCTTTCCTATGGTGGTGCAAAGGTCCTGGGGTCTTATGGAAAGGCAATACAAGGGATGCCCTCAGGCATCTGATGACTGGTCAGAGTTAAGATGCCTATCAGCATTCTATCAAGGGTTTCAGCACCAAAAAAAAAAAAAAAAAAAAAAAAAAATTAAAAAAAAGAAAAGAAAAAAGATGCCTATGGGCACCATAGCATTGAACCCCCAGGTCTTGGGGCTCTGTAGCTTTTGTGAATGTTTGGGATATGGGGGACCTTGGTGGGAACTTTTTGCCCATTTGGGGCCCTTCAGCACCATAGGTAACAATATAGTATAGTGGTTAAGGGATTGGCTCTTGGAGCCAAACTTCCTGGGTTTGAATCCTGCCTCTATTATTAGGTAATTATAGGTTATTAGGTAATTGTAGACCTTGGGTGACTATGAGAAAGTTACTTAACTACTCCAGGCCTCAGTTTTCCCATCTGTAAAATGAGAACAACAATAGTATCTACTGATAACATTTTTTAAAGGATTAAATGAGTTAAGAGTATATATATATATATATACACACACACACACACACACACATATAAATATACATAATTTCTGTGATGATGGTCATTTAGTCCCCTTGAGGTCTGGTCTGTGTCTGAGAGCAGGGACACACTAGTTTCCTGTTATATGGCCTCAGAATATGGTCCCTAGCTTCTCAGAGGCCCTCTTTCTCCCTTCCCCCTCACCACCTAGTATAAGCTTCTCATTGAGTTTAGATTTTTCAAAAGCCCATGAAGATCTGTTCACTTTAGTCTTGGATTCTTGGTCCTGTCTGCTAAAATCCCAGGAAGAAGGAATTACAATGTAGTTGTCCCTTGGTATATGGCAAGGTGGGGAGGTTTGCTTTCAGGACCCCCACTCCACCAGCCCCCAGTATACCAAATCCACACATACTCAAATCCTGAAGTTGGCCCTGTGTGTATATGGGTTTTGTGTCCTGCGAATATGTATTTTCTTTCTTTTTTCTTTAATATAAAAATATAGACAGGGTGTCACTCTTGCTCAGGCTAGTCTTGAACCCCTGAGTTTAAGCAATCCTCCCTCTTCAGCCTCCCAGAGTACTAGGATTATAGGTGTGAGCCACTGCACCAAATATGTACTTTTGATCTGTGGTTGAAAAAAATCTGAGTATAAGTGGACCCATGCAGTTCAAACCCATGTTGTTTAAGAGTCAACTGTATTGGGCGCGCGGTGGCTCACGCCTGTAATCCTAGCACTCTGGGAGGCCGAGGCGGGAGGATTGCTCAAGGTCAGGAGTTCGAAACCAGCCTGAGCAAGAACGAGACTCTGTCTCTACTATAAATAGAAGCAAATTAATTTGCCAACTCATATATATAGAAAAAATTAGTTGGGCATGGTGGCGCATGCCTGTAGTCCCAGCTACTCAGGAGGCTGAGGCAGTAGGATTGCTTGAGCCCAGGAGTTTGAGGTTGCTGTGAGCTAGGCCGACGCCATGGCACTCTAGCCTGGGCAACAAAGCGAGACTCTGTCTCAAAAAAAAAAAAAAAAAAAGAGTCAACTGTATTTAAGGGGGCTGGTTGGTGGTAGAAAATATGAAGCACAATGTAAAGGAAAAGACAGGTTGTTTTTTCTCTCTACTCACATTCAATATCAAACACTTCTATCACCAGATGTATGGGTTGTTTTCCTCACACACCAAGCAATTTTCCACTGGATACCAACTGGGTGTTCTATAATTCAATTCAATTCTGACATTATCTACCTAGAGATAGTGTCAGATCCCACAGGTTAAAGGCTCAGTCTCACAAGCCTGCCCCTCACTTCAGATCCCCACTGAGAGTCCCTGGTTGTGACTTGTGCTTCTCACCAACTGGCTATAAATTGGGTTTCACGTGATTTCCCTCTTCCGGTTTGAAAATTTGCCAGAACTGCTCACAGAATTTAGGGAAACACTTTACTTACATTGATCGGTTTATTATAAAGGATACAGATGAAGACATACATAGGGAGAGGAATGGGGGAAGGGGTGCAGAGCCTTCATGCCGTGTTGCAGGGGGTGCCACCCTCTGGCAGCTCAGGAATCCAGAAGCCCCTCAAATCTTGCAGTTTGAGTTTTTTCTTGAGTTTCCCAGTCCCTCCTCCCCTTTCCCAGAGATTAGTGGGTGGGTGGGACTCAAAATTCCAATCTTATAATCATGCATTTTCATCTAAGTCACCTCATTAACATAAACTCAGGTATGATCAAAAGGGGTGCATAATGAGTAACAAAGACATTCCTAACATGTATGAAATTCTAAGAGTTTTAGGGGCTCTGTGACTGGAACCAGAGACAAAGACCAAATATACTTTATATGATATCACACACAAACGACGATTTCAATAAATTATCCTGCTTCAAGTGCTATAAAGGTGCAGGGTGCTATGAGAAGGTATAAGACAACATCCTCCTGACAACTCCGTGAAGCAGGTATGTGATGGTTTGCCAAAGTTACAGACGCAGGCAGACCTAAACCAGGTTGTCTAGGAGAAATCAGACACACCAGCTCTTTAACTGGAATAACAAATTAACAATAACTATAAAGTATAATTTTGAAAATGGAAAAAACAATCTCATCAACCAAACTTATTTTTATATTCTCTTGTAGTCCCGATACATAGCTATATTTTGGTACAATTGTAATCACGGCGTTAAGACTATCTTGCATGGGACTTTTTTCACTTAGTGTATTCTTATTGGCATTGTCCCATATTTCCAGGCTTTAACACTGGCATTTTCAACTACTGCAAGACATTCCGAGTGTGCTGGGCCATGACTTACTTAGCTTTTCTTCTGTACTTGGGCTTTGGTGTTTTCCACTTCTTCACTATTATAAATAACATTGCAGAGCTCTGGGCCTCTGCTGAGTTGCTTCCTTAAAGGTAAATTCCAGGGGGGTGGGAGGGCAGAGACTGTCTCTATAGGGATCCTAGTAGCCACACCATGGGGCTGTGGGGTCTCACAGAACTGGGCTGGAATTCTGGCTCTATTTCCTAGTGGGGCTTAGTCATCAATTCACTGTTTCCAATTTTGGATCAACACGTATTAGTGGATCAAGTCTCAAGTCAGCATTAAAAAAAAGAAAGGAAAAAAATGGAAGAGAATATATTACCTACAGAATTGTTTTGTTAAACATCTCCTTAAATGTATGCATATGTGTATTGGGTTGTGATGCAAATGTGTTTTTTCGCTCTGGGTGTGGGCTAAACTAGTTGGGAAATACTCTTTCAACCTTTCTGGTCCCTTTTCCTCCAATCCTTCACCTTCTTCATCTCCACCGGCCACCAAGGTAGCCCCAAGCACTATTATCTCTTGTCTGGACAACTGCAATAGCCTCCGAACCAGCTTCTTTTTCTCCACGCTGCCCCATTACAATTCATTCTCATCCCAGGAAGAGTGATGTCTTAAAACCTAATTCAGATCGTGTCACTTCCCTGTTTGAATTCTTGCAATGGCCTCCCATTCCCCTACCTACCTACTGTTAGGGGGAAGAGTCCAAACTCCTTACCCTGGCCTGCAAGGCCGCCCCCCTACGTCTTCAATCTCCTTCCTCTCACCACCTTGTGCTCACGCATCCCCTCGCCCCAGCCAACCCCTCCAGGCAGGGCCTTTGTACTAGCCGTTACCTTTCTGGGGACCTTTCCGTGCCCGCTCCCTCTCATCACCTAGGTCTGGGCTCAAAAGCCGCCTGCTCAGAGAGACCCTCCGGGACTGCCCATCTGCCCTGTGCCCACGCTTTGGCCCATTGCTCCTTTAAAATTTCCCTTCCAGCTCGTACCCTTCTCTGGTACGACGCCGTCCCATTGCTTGTGTCAGGGGCCCCGACAGAGGTGCGAGCCCCAGG